TTCTGATTTTTCTAGCCGGGTCACCCTTATTTGGTTAGCCGTGTCACGTGGCACGTGACTTAGCCGGATAACAATATATGCTAATGAGATTAACAATATTGATATTTCTAGGATAAATGTTAGTGATAATAAGAGTCAGACAGCATTAATAAAGTCTGCGTGATCAAAACTTTTGTTTACTCATCAGAACATTAAAAATGTAGAAAGTGGTTCTGATATTAAAGCATCATCAGATGATATTGCAAATAAGTATCAATACGAAGTGTTTTCAGATGATTCATGTTCATCAAGATCTAAAAAAGGCAAAGATGTAGATAAGGATATCGAAAATTTGAAAGATATTAGAAGTGTTGCACAGAAAGTTGATTTTATGGATGAAATAAAAAAAAAAGTGAAAGAATCATCTGATAATAGTGAAAGTCTCGAACTTATTAAAAAAATAAAAGACACATGATACGTAGTTCAATTTATAGAATAAGAAGTTATGAAAAGATGTGGATGATAATAACAATGTAGAATAGTAAAGTTTATATTATTATTGCTCGATCAGAGACTTATCTTTATTACTAATTAGATGAAAAAACATATGGGGATAGGTCCACTATCTCAAGACCCTATTGTACCATATAATTGGACTAAGAAAATGCGTAACCACAAACTCGCTATGCTGGTAATTCAGTATAGAAAATCTAAATGTGTCTGTTATCCCAAGGCATTACTGTACCATTTAATCTACTAAGGAAACACATAATCTCAAGCCCACTACTCTAGACATATATTATAAAATCTAAATGTTTAAGTCCATAATTATCGTAAGCCTTTATAGCAAAAAAAAGAGAATCAGGTATTTCAAACGTCTTAAATATGTACTGCACAGGTCCTTGAACTGCCAATGCAGCCGTGGAGCTCGATTATAAGGTCCTTGCACTGCCAAAGCAGCCATGGAGCCTAACTAACAGGTCCTTGCACTGCCGAAGCAGCTGTGGAGTTTAACTAAGAGGTCCTTGCACTGCCAAAGCAGCTGCAGAGCCTAACTAAGAGGTCCTTGCACTGTCTGAACAGCCGCAGAGCCTCTCTTTACCAATACAGAGCTTACTAACCAAAATTTTAAGCAACTGCTAAAGGAACAGAAAGAACAGAAATGACATTAGGGAGGGAGTGGGGAGATAGAGCCAGCCTTAACACAAGGCGAGCGATAGCGAAAAGAAAGGATAATCTACTAACAACCTTCAAAACCTTTAAATAACCATTTATTGGACAAAAGTGTCTCACACCCACATAGGAGACCCATACTCCTTACTTGATAACAATAACTTACCGTAAACTAATAACCATAATATCATCATATGCAATCAGGTCGCTACATCACGAAAAACCTGCTTAGAACTAGTAAACTATTAACTAATTTCAACTATTCTATAAAAGGTTAAACAATATATTTCCTTGTGATCTAAGTCTTTTGATCTTACAATAATGATCACTCTGTCACTTCGTTGACAAGCTTTTCATTATTATTGCTCGATCAGAGACTTATCTTTATTACTAATTAGATGAAAAACATATGGGGACTAAAAGAGGATCGACAATATTAAAACCCCATTTTCTTTGAAAACATTAAGTTTGTCGTGCCCACAGTTCTCAGATATAGCATAACTGATTTACTGTCCCATCCTCTTATGGCTTGAATTTGTGCTAATGACATATCAGCCTCCATTGCTGCTGTAGCACCCCCTATTCTAATGCTATGAGCAGTGAATCTTCCTTGGAGGCCTGCATTCTCTGCAATTCTCTTGACAATGGCACTGACAACTGTACTCTGCTTCTAGACAGGAAAAGTGGCCTATCATCTAATGTTCTTGGCCTAATTGCCAGGTATCTTCTTAATAGCCTAACTGGACAATATTTACTATTTGAATATTCTATCGAAATAAATTTTCCATTGGCAAATTGATCTGTCTTGGATGGACTTATATGAACCCAAAACAGTTTTTCTCCAAACTTAATATCTTTAAGTTTTAGACTACAAGTTCACCAGGATGGCGCATAGTTCTCAAGCCAATAGCTATCAATGCAGCATTGCATATTCAAAAATAATCACTGATTAGCTATGGTTTCTTGTCAACAAAAAACTTTAAGGCAGCTACTGTTAAAGGATCACAAGGCCAGTTTGGGTCTTTAGCCTTTCTATAATCCTTTAACAGTGTTCTATAAACCCTCTTAACTCTATATTCCTTGGATGGATCTGTAAGCTGGACTTCAAGATATGCTCTTGAAACTGCTGCTAGAACATCTATACAACCTGAAATTGACTGGGTTAAATCTAACCAAACAATAAAAGATACCAATATATCAACTTTAGATGGAAATGCTTTCAAATTCATAACTTTACAGAAATCTTTATACACATTCCATGCCTTGTCTAGTTGCTTATTCCAACTATCTAATACTGTTTTTTTACTTAAAGTCTGTGCTTTAGCCAACAGCATTTTTACTAACCTATTCTTGCTGCCACAAACTGTCAATTCAGGTTTCTTCATGATTTCATTTCTCCTGAAATTTTTTTGATAAATAAAACCTGAACTGGAGACAGGAGCAACATATCTATTGTCATATATATTAACATTGGCCACCACTCTGCTGACATCCATTTTGGAATGATTATAGTTGCCACAACCTTTTTTTCTCTTATGTGTTAAAGAACGTGATGAATTAAAGCTAATGGGGATAAATATAATTGTTTTCTCTAGACCAGCTCTAAGTAAAGCAGTTTACTCCTTCTGAGTTTGGGCAATAAAACCTGCTGTTGAAATGCTTTATTTTGGTGTTCTGATTGTTTGCCATTCGATCAATAGTATGAGGATCTCATCTGTCTTCCAACATTATAAAAACTAACTAATTTAGACACCAATCGTTTGGGTCTACATGTCTGGTCAAAGAGTCTGTTGGGTTTAACTTTGAGGGCACCCAAAAGACTTTGCTGATCAAAATGTCGAACTCATCCAATAACTTCTACAATCTTCTTAGTAAATCCTTTTGCCAAGATAAACTTCCTCATTTTAAAACTGTTCCTATTGCTTCTCAATTGTTTATATGTAGATTGATTCAGGAATATTGAAGCATTATTGCAAAGGACCTTATTTCCAGAATTACTGTCTCTGCCTCTAGTCTTGTAATCTTCCTGTATGATCTTTTTGAACTTCAATTCCCGAATGCATGATGTTTCCTGTAAACTGCAGACCACCCAATTGTTAATACATCTACGAAGATCTGTTTTACTTTTGATAGTTTCCAAGCAGAATGATCATTCTGTTTCTTTAAATTTTGGACCACCCATTTGGCATCCTTCTTTGCTTGCTTTGTCAACACCACTAACGAATCCCATTGTCAACAACCTCTGTTGGCTGCATCTATTATTGTGTAAAACTCCAGACATTGAACCTTGGCATGAGCAAAGACTCTGCTCAAAGACTGTATTTTTTCCACCATTGTGCCAAGTTGCATGCTGATATCTTCTCTTTCTTTATAAGCTCTGACATCAATGTCCTTACTTCTAAAATCTTTGTATCTGGAACTATTACTTGCATTTTCACTATATTGATTATTAACCCAAAAAATTTTACTTGCTATGATGGTTCCCACTGCCTCTTTGATACTTCTCTTACCAACCCACATCTCTTTAGGTCTTTTTCTATCATCTGATCTCTTATTATTATCAAAATATCTAATGAAGGATGTGCAACCTAAAAATCGTCTAAATAATTTCCACAGAACAGCCTTAATGATCTCCAATGTCCTACAATTGCTCTTATTATCTTGGAGAAGATCCAAACAGCTTGTGACAAACTGAAAGGGAGAACTTTGTAATAATATCAACTTCTCAATACTTGGAACCCAAGAAACTATTGTGCACTCTTTTTCATCATTACATGATGGTAACTATCCATTAGGTCCCATGTAATCATATACCAGCCTATATCTACTGTGCACAGAAGACCTTCAAGACCCTACAACTTTACTTTCTTTTCAGGTAAGGTGGTGTTCAGATGCCTTAAGTCTATGATCATTCTCCATTTTTTGGGCCCCTTTTTGGGTACCAAAAAGACAGGACTTACTTCTAAAAAAAATGTAGGTCTTTCCACTTGATTTTCTAATGTTTTTATTACTGAGGATGCTAGCAAACAATCCAACTCTCTTTGTATTCATTCCTCTTGGTCCTTTGATAATGTGTACTGTTTTGGGGTTTGTTGTGCTGCAAGTAAAAGAACTCCTCTCAGAAACAATAGAACTCCATTCTTTAACTAACTTACTACTACTGATGATGGTCTTATTTTGTCTTGCCAATAACTCAATGCTTCTGCTAACTGCATCCTTCCTACTACTGACATTCGACTTTCTGGCTTCCTTAGACCCGACACTAGACAATCTTCTAAGAATAGGGTCCAAGTGTGGTCATTCTTCATTCTTTGGCTTGGTGGTGGCTCAAGAACCTGTAGAAGGGCAGCTGAAGGCGATGTGACCAAGGCCTCTATAGTTGAAGCAGTTAAAGACTCCTTTACATTCTGGAAACCTAAAGGCTCTTCTGTTACAAAAGGATTAAAAGCTTCTATTATATCTCCTTTTATCCTTATGACTTTCATCTCTTTCTGAATCAGTCGAAGGTGAAGAATATCTTTTCCTCTTATGCCTATATAACTTACTAGACTTATTCTGATTAAAATAGCGTGAGGCCATATCTGAATGGCTAAATAATAGAATATGATCCTTGTATTTTTCCATCATTTTGTTATTACTTCCAACTATCTGTAATGCTGTACTCCAACCCTTATTATCTGCCAACCTTAGTGTAGCTGCTCAGGCTTCAATTTCATCTCTAATACTATCAAAGTCTTTTTTATTAGCCATTGGTACTACTTTTATTGCTTTGTCCAAACGTTTGCTAATTTTTACCAAGAAATCATACTCGTGTTGATCCTGTGGCTTTGACAAGCTAACCTTGGGCCATGCTTCATCCAATAAATCACACTCCTCTATTTTTCTATATAGAGCAGAAAAATTTCTTTCCATCTTCATTTCAATTTTACCCAATGCCAACAGAAACATATTAACTATTATTTGTTTCGCCTTCTCTCTTTCTCGGGAATGACCTACTAACTTATCTTTAATCCTATTGTCTGCTTTCTGCTAATATACATGCATGTCATCCAACTTAAGGTCAGCATCCCTTCCATTATTCCAATTCCTTTCATCTGCATCAATTCTGAGTACTTCGATAATGTTATCCAAATCTTCATCATCCCTTACTCCACTCTTGCTGTAGCATTTCCTTTATTCTTCCCGAAATATGCCTAGAGCCTATCGCTAAGATTCTTCTTATTCCCTATACTAGATAAACTGCATAACATACACAAGTCTTTTAATTCATTTAATGTTAACTTAGACCAGCCTATACCCAACATATAGGAGTACTAAAATTTATCGCAAAAAAAATAGGACTGAATTTTATTTACAATAGTTTATTAA